ATTCTTGATTCTCGACGTCGGAGTACACAGAGTGAAGCGAAAAGACTACAACTGTATGGAAGCCATTCTGAAGCAGCCAGGGGGGGATTCTAAATGAGCCAAAAAGCAGAGACAGGAGCAATTGTCAAAATTTTGTTGTCGATCATTCGATTTCATCCTGGACACTACAGAAAATGGGCTAAAAGTGTTAAAAACCGGAATTTTCCTTTAATATCATGTGAATCTTCCTGTTGGTTTGTAACATGAAATATGAATAAGTTTGTGGTTTTAACCTGAAAAGAAGAGCTTCTAAAATAAAGTGGTATGCTGGAAACAAACACATGCTGGAGAGGTTCTGGCCATTTAACAACGCACCGTTTTGTGTGTCTGTGTGTGTTGGTTCTCGTCTCTTCTTTATGAGAATCAGATTAAAGCTGTGGGCAGAGCCCCTGTATCTTTGTGCCAAGCTCAAATCAAATTGTACGGTCAGGTGGAAGTCAAAGCAAACACTTTAAATTAAGAACCAAAATCATTTCAGCTGCATCTGCAAGATTACATTGGGGAAAAAAAAAACTCCTGCAGACACACACACAGAATCACACCAGCCCCACAACATGATTTATGCTCATGGAAACAAAGCGAGCATCAACTGCCAACTTCTTTCAATAAAACTGTATTTTGCCTTGTTATTAAATCAGCCTTTTCAAATATAAAGAAAAACGTTATTCAATAAAAACAGGAATTTTTCCTGTTTTATTTACCTTGAGACAATCCAGATTGAGGCTGCAGGGCCCTGATAAGAGCTACTCCGGCCTCATTCGATTACAATCAGCAGCTCAAAGAACTGATTGTTTCTCTCCGGAGTTGTTTTTTTTGTTTTTTTATTGTGTTTTTTTTTTGTTTTTTTCTGGTAGTTGTTTATACAATCAGTATCCAGCACGCAGAGCTGTCAAAGGAAACCCAGCAAAAAGGCAGAGGGGAGGGAGATAAAATGACTGACTCATTTATTCGACTAAATTAAATGGCTAACGCTCCCTATCAGAAGAGCACACTTAAGATAAAGTGCTATCACAACCTGCTTGTGTTACACTTGTGTGATGAATGTGGGCTTAGAGTGCCGGCTCTCAGTTTTCATTGGAGCTTTAAACCAACAGAAAGAAGCGTTTCTCCTTACTCTACCTACTCTTCTTTTCCAGGGAATTAACTATAATTGGGCAAAACTGTAAATGTTGACTTTCTCCAGAATTATTTAAAGGCTGTTGCTGCATGAAATCTGGATACCAAGATTATAGTTAAATAATGAGTTTCCTTGCTTATGTTGCTCTGCCAGGCAGATTGTGACTCTCCCTGCCTTTAGTTTTGTCTGAACTGGGTGAAGAGTAGCTCAGCGAGGGTTGGATCAGCCAACAAACTCAGCCGTTGCTAATATGTTCCGTCTATTTACCTACAGGGACTCCTCGGCTGGTTTCTGCTGCATGTTTGGAGACATTTTCCAGCTTTGACATGTGGGGCTGTGTAATCAACTTGTTGGATTTCGCTGAATCCGATTTTGGCTGTTTACTCCTCAGCCGTCGTGAATTCGTCCAGTTGTTTCCATCTTCCATCACACTGCTTAACTCTAGCGACATTAGAGTCTCTGTGTCTCTTTTCCATCGCTTTAGGCTCCATCCTTTAGGGATTTATCACCCAGAAATCTGACTTTTTTCATGTTAAAACGATTCATGTTCAGCTTAAGTTAAAACCTGCTGCAAAATCCAGAGTGTGCAGGTGGCATAAAAGTTTACAAGAGCCAGCTCTCCACAAAACGCCAGTTTGGTCCTCCTGTCCTGAAACGGTGCTAACAACAGCCCGCCTTGCTAATACTGCTCCCATCTCTATTCTACCAAGTGTTGCTGATTGTGTAGCTTTCTATCTATTGTGTATAAAAACCTAGGAGTGATGGTTAAAGAATCATGGCAAACTTCTAATGTTGCTAAAGCTACATCCACATTAACGGCCATACGGCCACATTCTCGTGAGACTTCTGAGAGAAATGAAAAGGGATGAAATGAAGAGATGAAATTATAAGGGGTCCAAATGAGCTCTATTTACTATTTATTATAATTTTTTTCCACCCATAAATCACATGTTCACTTCCTCTGCCCTAGGAATATTTTTTATTAGATCTTAGGTCTCAGGAAAAGGACAGAGCTTTTTTTTTTTTTTTATTAAAGTTTTAGCAATACTTTTTTTGAGGAATATTTATTTTTTATGTTAATACGATACTCTAAAATGATTGTAAAATATTTAATTTTTATATATTTCAATAAAATATAGTTGCACAGACGTTGGGATTTTCTTTATGCTGCAATGCATTCTGGGTAAATGATGTATGCTAGGTCCAGTAGCACTAGCTCCATCCAGCCAGCTTCAACCAGAGGGTGTTAAAGTTGATGAGCAGGTATAATGCTACATTCAAATCTAATGCGATTTGAGTAGCAAAAAAGCGCCTGCTGTTTCATTTTTAATGCTTGTACATATTAAGATCCGACGTGCCTTAAGAGCATCTTTGACGCTCCTGAAGCTCGTCCAGTAAAGTGTGTAAAGATTTGCCAAAGCTTCTGCTCCTCCTGTGTTTAATGGCAGAGAGCAGTTTTACTAATATTTGCTCTTAAAAGTTGATAAAATGTAGTTTTAATATGTTTTTAAGCAAGAAAGTCCACCTATAAATTTAATCTGTTTAATCAGTTCATCAAGATTACGATCCTGCTTTCAAATATTATTTCACTGTCAGACCAGCATGGAACCCTCGTACACTGGAGGAGTGCCGTCACTGGAAATCCCCAGCATCAGCTTCCTCTGGCACTGTGGCGTCTTGTGGGATTTTCAATGCTGCTCATAGTGGCTGGAAGGACATGTTAGCATTTTTCATGTACGTAATCCAAACTGCAGGCACCAGAATAATAATGGTTTCGACATTTTAAGTAAATTAAGGGGTTGATAAACTGTTTCAGCGGAGTGATAATCAGCATTTCTGTGTCTGTCTCCCTGCTAGTCACAGTTCAGCTTCTCTGATTGGTTGATGTGGCGAGTCGAGCAGCAAAAGTTAAAATGTTCCAACTCCAGCAGCTGCAGCTTTTGAAGTGCGTCACGCGCATCAGATGCTCAGAAGCCCATGGAAAGCTGTTTCAGCTGCCTAAAGATGCACTACTCCTGCTGTTCGAAACTGACTGCAGGACCTTTTGATGCTCCTTGATGTGAATCCACCATTGACTTTGCATGTAAACCAGCTGCTTTTGCTGGTTCAATCGCGTGAGGTCTGAACGTAGCAAAAGTCCCCAAGAGGGGAGAGTTGGTCGAAGAAGCTGGTGTATGTGCGGCTGTTTCTTGGAGACACTAACCCAGATGGAGAGCTATGATACAAAGAGCTCCAGCTTCTAATTGAGGCTTTTTACAGTTAGCATTGTGAGCCAAACAGTTTTGCGATATATTAGAAGGAGGTATCAATGCCTGAAAGATGTTTCACTGTCAATTTAAAGTCATAGGGAAGCGGCTGTTCCAACGGTTGCATTTCTGATTTGTGGTGCCAGACTTTAAATGAGTGGATAAAGTGAATGTGATTGGTCGTTTATCAAGGGAGGAGGGATCGCAAGCAAGTTTGCTTGCGGCCGCTTTCTCGGAAGCATCTTGCTAACCAGTTAGCAACTTAGTGCTAGTTCCCAATGGGAAATTCCATTGGGAGCAAGTAGCACTAAATTGGTGTCTTAGAAATGACACTGTCAAGGAACGCCATAGACAGAGGAAACATGCAAGAGGAGGAGAGTTATGTGTCGGAGGTTGTGCGATGACAGAGGATTAGTCTCCTTTGTCATCCATTTTTTATTTAGAGGAGGAAAGCGGGGACGAAGATGTTGTAGAAGAGGATGCCAGGGTGGCAGAAGCTTTGTTTGGTCTAGAAGGCTTAAAGCCGTACATGTTTGAGGCCTTGCATCCCAACGCTGTCAGTTCTGTTAGCTCTACGCCTGCCAAAGACACAGATGTCCATTTTCTACATTTTGGGACAATATACTCTGATCAAGAGTACATTTATATACATGTTTAAGCCAGAAATTCAAATACGACTTCCCTACGACTTTAAACAGGCGTTTATTATCTTGCAACTTGTCACATTAGCTTTTGCTCAAGCCGTTAACTCTAGCTAATAGAGTAAACAGTAGATTACAACGGCTGACATTTGTTTTAATGTCCCATGAAATCTTTGATACAGCGACCCAGTGTGGCATTGTCTAAATTTACACCATTCAAACCGGACACAACAAAAAAACAATTCAGATTATGTTAGCCTTCTTGTGTTTATTCTGCAGGTTCTTGTCCAGTTATACCTAACTTATACCTGCAACATCCCAGCATGCATTGCGCTGGTAGAAAATGGTAACCTGCATGGATGAAATCTTGACCAACCAAGCAGATATTTTTAGTTTGTCAACGCTAAATTCTCACCTAAACCATCTTTATATTTTATTGTATTATATTTTCTAAGACCTGTAAACTGATAGGTTATTGTTTCCTGAGACCTGATACCAGACAACCTTTTTATCTGAGAGCTGAGAATGTCATCAAATGTAAACTCCTCCTACCAAAGTTTGTACCTGTATCCAGCTCAGAATGTGTTGCACAAACTAATAGCCGTTTCCTAACAATCTCCATCTAATCTGACTGACCTTTAAATATTTTGTGAGGAAGAATGAGCAACAACTTGAATCTTTAAATGTGCAAAGCATGTTAAAGTGCTAGACTCATGTCTCTGGAAAAGAGCATATAACACTTTTTGGTGTTCTGCTTAACCGTTTTTTCCCTCCATTTTTAATCAGTCTTTGTATCAGCCTGCCAAATTATATTAAACAAAGATAAAATGTGAGGACGTTTGTGGTTGTGACAAATTGTAAAAAGCTCATGGGGTATGCATTATTTTGCAAGAGGCTTTCTTAATTACTAAATAACCTTAAATAACTACTCAGATCTGCAGAAATTATTAAACCAAATTCCCCCAAAACTGCAAAATTAAACCCCATTTGAAATATCTCAATATATTGTAGAAGTTGCTTATGAAACCAAAACTAAGATACAAAGTGGTTTTATAAATCTAAAATCACAGATCGTCCCTGATATATGTAGCCTTACCTTACACTCCCCATTGATGCATATGTCCAGAGAGTCAGCCTGACATCGGGTCCCGTCAACGACAGCAGGGGAGCGCTCGGTGTAGAAGTTATAGCCCTCTGCCAAGCAGTTCAATGCGCAAGGTTTCACACTGCCTGGAAAACACACAGAACACCTCATTACCTCCAGCTGGGCCTGTACTCAGAGAACAAACAGCAGACCCTCCTCGCACAAGCAAACAGCACGGGGAGCCCAGCACATGATCATCACTGGATCAGGAATTACGGCCAGCTCTGGCATCTCCATTTCCACTTGTTCACGAAACTAACCATACATGACGTCACCATAACGCTGACATCCACAGAGATGGAGTGACCTGCCAGCAGCAATTATTCTGATGCAGGTTATATGGTATTTACATGACGGCTTCCAGAACGAGCAACATCTAGGTCAGGAGAGGAACGATTGTACATACAGTAGGGAGGACAAATATTTGATGCACTGCTGTTTGAAAACCAAGTCTTCAGTTTGTATCAAAGGTATTCTTCAAATGAAAAAAAAAAAAACAGCAAAAAACCCTGAGAAAAATCCCAGTGTGTGACTTTTAACTTGCATTTAATTGTATGGCATGAGCACTGGCCAGTAAGACAGGTCTAGAGTTCTTAGGGGCCTGTCACACCTTGACGAGTTAGACCAGCGTATGCCTGATGTACGGAAAACCTGGAAAAAACGCTGGCATACATTGCATAAGTTATGGGTACGTTTTGTATAAGTCATTAGCACGTTGAAGTACACTGGAACACGCTGGCACACTTAGACATACGGCGAGTACGTCAACAAATTTTTTGCATGCTCAAAATTTCAGGACGTATGTCAGCATATGCTAATACGGGGGCATAAGTTACAGGTAAGTTATCTGATCATTAACATACAGGAAGGATATTAAGGATGGGGTTGTGTCTTCCAGCATGACAACCACCCAAAGCACACAGACAGCAAGTGGCACCATAAGCATTATCTCGAGATTTTAGAGTATCCTATCTAGTCTCCGGACCTGAACCCAGTCGAAAAGCTTTGGAGGCGATATTGCCTGGCGACCACCTCAATACTGAGGTGGAGAAGATCTGTATGGAGGAGTGGCCCAACAATCCCAGCTGCAGTGTTTAAAAACCTTCTCAAGATCTGCAATTCAAACAAAGAATTCTTTATGAAATATTCAGTTTTGTTTTTCTAATGTACTAAATACTTTTCTAATTTAAAAAGCAAGTTATTAAAAGAAATGTATGTTCTATGAACTTTTCTTTTAGATTTTGTCCCTGTTGAAGAGTACCACTGATAAAAACTGGAGTTGTGCATGGTTTGAACATTAAAACCTGAAAAAAGGGTATTCAATTCTTGTTCTTCCAACTGTAACAGATTTTTTGATGAATAATATTACACTTGAATAGTTTCATCACTCGTAGAACATTGAAGCATTACATCCTTTAAACATTTTTTCTCTTGTTTAATGTGTTAAATGGATGCTTTCCACGATCAGCTAAAATAAAAAGGTCAGACTTACTACTCTTTAGACAGACAGATTCATCTCATCCTGAGAAGTTGAGGAAAAATTACTCAGGCACTTGTTGGATTCTTGTTACTCTTGACCTGCGATGTATCAAGTCAGGAGTGCTATACAATCAGATCTCCAAGTTTGGTCCAGCAGTAGCAGCTGTAGGGATTTTGAGGAATCTCAAGAATTCCTCCAGTCATCAAACAGAACCTTCTCTCTAGTCGTGTTAAGACGGAACACAAGCCAGACAGGTCTGGAAGTTGTCGTTGGTGACTCGGGGAGGGTGACAGGTTTTACAGCTCAGCCCTTCAAATAAACAGGACTCCTATGCAGGTGTGTGAGACTGAATAAAGTATGTTTGGTATTTATGAAAAATGAAAGTAGAAAATTTGTATTTTACGAGGTCATTTCTTTCCCACAGTCTCCATCCATCCATCCATCCATCCATCCATCCATCCATCCATCCATCCATCCATCCATCCATCCATCCATCCATCCATCCATCCATATAAAGCCTGACGATTGTAGCAGTAGCTTCCAAAAAACATTACTTGAATTTACTAAACAGGGCAGAATAACTCTGTAAATCTGAGTGCATTAAAGTGTAGAATATTCAAGAAAAGTGTGTCAAAAAAATAATGAAAACATTAGGAAATTCTTTGCTCTTATTTTGGTTAGTCCGCTAGCAACACAATTTTAGTATTTGGTCGGTGAAAATGTATAATAATAGGGTAAAACCTTGCATAGAACCCATAAGGTAAGTCTTCAAAACAGATATTCAGTGGATGGAAGGGGGCTCTATTTTTTTTTCTGCACCTTAAGGGCTAGTTTTAGATTGATTTGATTCACGTTTTAGTCCTTAACTCACCACCAGTGTAAGGCTTCCAGTTGTAATACTTCCCACGGAAAGGCATGTTATCGAAATCAGCGCACTGCTTCTCTCTGAAATCCTGAGATCCAGCTGGGCATGCCTGGAAAAGTGAAAGAAAAGAAAAAGAGACGTTTTACGTGTTGATCACTGATACTAGATACTTCATTGATATTTACTTATTCATACATTTTAAAGATACTTAAATTCCTAAAATGAGAATTAAGAACGGAACCCATCCGTCTTTGTCCTACATAGGAGGATCTTTTCACTCCCCGCAAACCCACTAACTGGTATGTTCCATTTTAAACCAGGTATCAAATGTTTCTTTTTTTTTTTTAAGACTAAGAGTCCTTGTTCTGATACATTTTACGCATTATAAGATTCAAAATACACCAACTTTATAATGCAGAGTGAAATACCGTCTTTCAAAGACTTTCTGCACTTCTTCCTGCTTTATGTGTCACTGTGAATATGTGAATGAATGCAATCAACCCCTTACGTCTGTGTGCTTTTTAATCCTATGATGAACAAAGTGCATTAGAACAGGGATTCTGTTTCCTCCTCTGCAGCCAGAGATGATATAAAATCCTTTCAGTATGTAAGTTAAGTGACATAGAAGCAAATAATGGAAAGTCTTTGTCCAATACCTCCAGTTTGCAGCAAAATGTCAACAAAAACAGGACCTAATCTTCCAAAGACAACAACATAAGATATATGGTTGAGAAATACCATCTGACTATTATTACATTTTGTTGTTGATTCAAAGTGAAATATGGACATCTTTCATTTTTAAATTTCTCAGTCAGAGATTACTTTTTTATTAGGAATTGGTTTTATAATAAATCATTAATTTGATTTAGTAACAGTAACAACACAAACCGCAGCCTATGGGGGTAAGTATTCATATTTTTGTTGTTGTCCCAGACACACTAGACATGGATGGTATGAAATCGCGGTTAGGCCTCTTGTTTGGTTTCCAAAGTAAACATTCGCTTGTGGTTAAATGTCTAGCAGGGCTTAAACTGTTGCAGTTTTTACCGAAAGAAAAAACAAAAAACCTTCGAAATAGTTGAACAGAGATCTCAACTTGGAGCCATGTTAAATATTTGTATGAAACAAAGCTTGGAGAAAAACTCCAAGCTTTGTAAATTCATTTTTTTTTTAAATGAAATCCGCACCGAGACTGCTACCACTGGTTGACCAAAGAAGTGTCAGTACTGATACATAACTTATAATGTTGCAAAAAATAAAAAGGAGAATAAACAGAGAAATACTGGGGGAACACTGAATCACAGCACATTCTTTTAGTTCCAGGAAAATGTTTTTGATAGTTTAAATGTGGTTTTTAAGAGAGAACCTGTATGAATATCACTGTATAAATAAAACCATTCTTAGCCTTAATTAAACTATAACTACTGACTTCTTAAAATCATGCATTACCTGCTGCTAAACTTACTTTTTTGGTTCAGTTTAATGAGCTGCATCCAGGCCTGATTACTACCTAAAGCTCTAAATAAGAAATCCACAAATAAAGAAAATTTTTTAACAAAAGCAAAGAAATCTCGATTCTAGACGCCTTACGGGGGACCTCAACAGCTTTCTAATGCTTAAAACCCTCCTATGATTCTGAATTTTAAAAATTCACAGAAATGAGAGACAGTAATAAAAGTCATCCACAGGGATGATAACAGTTAACGCCAAACTGAAGGCGAAACAGGAACTCTCATGTCTTTATTCATACATGGGATCAAGACGTATTTGTTTTTGTTTTTTTAATCATCATTATATATATATATATATATATATATATATATATATATATAAATATATATATTTCCTCAAGTTTTATTTTGACTAATGTCAATATTGATTTGAAAATCTAAAACATTTGATATAAAAAGCAGAAAACAGGAAGAAATCAGTAAAGGGGTGTAAACAGCTGGTGTGCAGGAACAAAAGATGGATTCTGCAATTTCACATGTGCCGATGGTCCCAATTTTCTTTACATATGTTACCATATGTCTGGAGAACCTTAATGACCTAATTCTGTGCTTCCATTCCTTCAGCACACTGATCTGAAAAGCTTTATAATTTCAGGTGGGTGAAAATTCCCTTGAATGCGGGAGAGTGAAGCTGGTCCAGGAGCTTAATGAAGGGGATCTTCGAAAGATGATTGGCTTCGGAGAATTTGATTGACTGGAGCTGAACAAGAGACATCGCAGGTCATTCAGGTGAAGCTGATGAGAGTCCAGATTGAACTTTTGTTTAAGCTTTAGAACTTTTTACGTTTTTTAGAAGCAAATTTTTACATTTTCAAGTTTAATTTTCCAGTTTAATTTTTCAATGCCAAATCTCACATCGATGTCAATGCAAGCTGTCACTGATTTGGCTCCATATTATACTTGTATAAAACTAGAGGTAAAGTTTGGAAACAGTTCAGAAAGGTAAACCATACATCCCACCAATGTGGAACACAGTGTAACCTGACTCCGCCAGATGGATTTGCTGGATTTGCCCCGCATATC